AGCTTCGGAATCAGGTCCATCTTCTCTCAGCAGGGATGGAAGAAGCATCCACCTTTCTTGCAAAAAACAGGTACTTGTTTCTCCTGGAATTTATTCTTTTTACACTCTCCATGTTTTCTTTGGCCTTTTATCTTTCCTTCTGTCATCTCTCAGGTATGCAGTGGTTACCGAAGCAAACAAGGGGATTGGATTGGGAATATGCAAGCAGTTAGCTTCTAAAGGGGCGACTGTTGTTTTGACTGCTATAGATGAGAGAATGTATTCAACTGGGTTAAACATTGCTAAATTTGAAGTGCATATTTCAGAATGTATCAAATGAGTGTGTATCATCCCAGAATCTCAACCATACAAAAGCGCATGTGAAATGTACAATGTGCGGTCGAAGCTATAGCTGAAGCTTGTAGCTTTTCCTCTTATTTCAGAATGAATTCAGACCTAAACCCTTCAGAAACATCTGTTTGAATTAGTCGTTTAACATCCTCTAAATTCTGATATTTTTTAGAGTACATTTGAATATCTATATCCAGACAGCGCTCAACTTTATTCATTATAGTCATCACTTATGCCTTAAAAAATGTCAGCCACTGTAATTAATTATACAAATGTATTCAAAAGATTTACTAACTTCGCAATTTGTCAATGGTCTAGCGTTTTAATTGGACTAGTTTTGGCTTTTCAAGCAACTTGATTAGCCGTCTCTTGCAAAAAAAACATGTCATTTGGATCTCCTAACCATGTTACTGGGAATAAAAAATGTTCAATCATTGAACTTAATTGTTGTCCTCTTTGTTGCTGTCTTTATATTTTTCCTGCACTTCTTTCCTTCCTTACATATCATTTCTCTACCTTCAAAGTTTCAGATTTATTAGATCCATCTTCTCTCAAAATAGAGGGAAGATATATCCACCTTTCAGATTTATTAGGTACTTGTTTCCTTGGCAAACAAGGGGATTGGACTCGGAATATGCAAGCAGTTAGCTGAAAAAGGGGTGACCGTGTTTTGACTGCTAGAGATGAGAAAAGCGGCATTGACACTGTAGAAAAGCTCAGAGAATCTGGTCTCTCTGACTTCATCCTTTTTCATCAACTTGATGCTGCAGATCCTGCCAATATTGCTTCTCTGGCAGATTTCATAAAATCCCAGTTTGGAAAGCTTGATATCTTGGAATATTTAAGTTCCAGTTTCTTAAAATCTCTCAGCCTTATCAGTTTATATTTATTCAGTATTGTTTTCCTGTGAACATGATCTTTTGTTTGGTTGCTTGAATTACATATGCACAAACATGGATTTTCTGCTTTATATTTGGTCTGGTAGTTAGGAATAGCCATTTATTTTACATATACAGAATCGTTGTATGTAATCTATGCTGAAGGATTTTGAAATCATCAACCATGTGTAGGTGAACAATGCAGGAATTCGTGGTGCCATAGCAGATGATGGTTCTATAAAAGCTTCAGATTTTGGAAAGGTAAGTCTTCTGTATATAATCCATTTCCTAGTTTTGAGAATCTTAGAAGTTTAGTTTCTGCTATCATGAAAACTCAGCCTGGTGCACAAGTCAACTGGACTCAGATGCTTACTCAA